AAGACACCCTGGTGCGATTTGTATTATATATCTGTGATCACTCCTGACTGAGAGCTTGAGTGTTCGAAGTTTTTAACTCAATCGAGCACTAGGAACTGTCAATAATAAATAAATAATATAAATAAAAGAAGCAGAGAAACTTTATTATACAATTTATCACAATGTCATTTTTTTCATATTTTTTATTTACATATTTTTTTATAAATTCTAATACTACCACCGCTGCTATTCGCTCTATATACGAGCGACATCACACTGTTAGTCCACTCTAACATGCGGATCGCTGATACGATGATTTATTCATCGTTAAGTCACCCGTTTAACTATGGCAGCACCTACAGTTCTATATCGACGTGCATGCAGCTGGTGTCGTTAGTGAGAGCTCTTCATTAACGCAGTAAAGGGCAAAGCCTCCTTATAACGAAGAAACACCATCAGCTGCCGACAATGTTAACTTGCATGGAAATTCCGTGGTGCTCCCAATAAAAGGCTGGGGGTCATTAAAGATTCTAAGATGCCACGGCGTCCACATTAAATTACGTGGTGGCGAAGGTCAAGGCAGCAACCCAGGTGCTATACCTTCTAATGTGCAGCACAAGAAAACTTTGGTTAAGCAACAAGCGTAGGCCGATTATGACATATGCATCTCTGCTTGGGCCCACGACTTAGCGGCACTAACGTTCTCACTTCGATTACGGCAAAATAAACTGCTGCGTCCTTTAACTAAAGTGCCGTGGTTTGTGCGCAGTGATATACTTCACCACGAACTACAGCTTGACTTGCTGACAGTTTTCACAAAAATGATGCCGTCGCCCTCTACAAACGAATAACTGGACACGCTAAGCACCTTTTAGCGGAAGAACTCATTTATAAGTGCTGGGACGTCACACTCTCTTAGCGTAACGATTAAGGTAAGTTGGTGGCCAAATCAAACGCGAATAACACATTTTTATTTTATTATATTAATTGTACTCGTGGGCGACTAAAAATCTTTTTGAGAGCTCCTGTATTTGAAGTTGTTAGCTCGAACGAGCACCGGGGAACACCATTAAAAGATAAACAGATAAATAAATATTAACTGAGTATAGATATTTAACTATAAAGCACACGCAAACGGTCGTAACCGAAAAAGGCGCGGACAAAAAAAAAGATTGCGACTACTCGTTTATTATAAGTAATCGTTTCTAATGTACTAGAATTATAAAATAAACGAAACGATCTTTTACATAAACAAACGAATTGCCCAACACTTGCAGTTTGCGTTAAGAATTATGAACTTAACTCTTTTTCTTAATATGTGAAGATCATAAATAAAGCCAAACCGGTTGGTTAAGAAAAGTTTTGTGGTTGCATTTTGTTTCTCTTCTTATACTTCCTTTTTCGTTCTTCTCATTTCATACACTAGACTTAATTTAAAAAATCAATTTAATATATCTAAGAGTAGAATATAAAGAAATAACTCCGTAAGTATGTGGTTAACAAATAATAAAAAATTTATTTTTAATTTAGTATTATAAAGTTTTTTTAACTGTTCTTTTGCACGAAATTGGTGTTTTTAGCAATCAGTAAGGTATTTTCATAGTCCGCTTTGCTAGACGGAAGTATGCTATAGATGATTTTCTCGAGTAAAATTAATCTTATACTGATTCTTTTAAATGTATTGAAGGAAAACAACAGCTTTCTTTAATGTATTTAAACACATCTTTATAATATAGCACACCTGTTATAATACAAGTTTTCCAACTTCTCTTCTCCAACTTAAAATTACCACAGGGTTACTAACTAAGGAATTACGACTACGGATAATGTATATGATCCTAGATGACTAATTCATTTTGAAGTGCAATTATATTTATACAAAATTTCAGTAGGAACTCTAATAGCGAATAGCGCAGAAAACCCCACAGCTTTTTCAAATAGTTAACTAAAACTTTTATTTAAATTTTCGTCCGTTTAAATATTTTCTTTCGAAGCTGCCAAGCTTTATAAATGCACATGCCTTCAAGGCGTTAAACTATCCTTATGAACCACCCTCTAAACAGTTAGGAAAAAACTAAGTTCAACCCCATAAAACGAAATAATAAATCAGACTTGCGCTCTAGACAACCAAGACAGATTTACACACTAAACGAACATCAGTAAACGACAGAACAAAATATTGTTAATTATTTAGGTAAAATGAATAGATGAACATAGTTTTTAAAATAATCTTAATAGGTTAAATCAACCAGTTAAAATTCATATAAGCCAAGTGCATAAGGTTTGCGTAGAGATCAATTTTACTTTAATGCGCACTGTAAGTGGCTCGTACCATCAACAAAAAAAAACTCCATTTAGTGTGCAGATGCATAAAGTATACTTGACAGCACAATAGCAGTTGGTAAATAGTTTGGTTTTTATTAAAATAAAAATATGTTAATAGACAAAAAAAATTTAGAAATACTAGACTAATAGTTAATCAAGTTCGAAAAGTTGTTTATATCATAGCCCATTCATCTACAAAAATTAGTACAAAATCTATTCCGGGAATTTTTTTTCGCAAAATATTTCCCGATCCTCCATTTGTGGATTTTGTTTATTTACAAGTAGCTTATTCCCGAGTTTTGTGTAATTATTACCGCAAACAACTTCCGTGAGAGTCTTCCAGTATAGTTTTGTTTCTACAGTTTTTTAAGCTTATACGACCCTCTTTAAGAATTTCTTTATGTAAGTAAAACTTGAAACCAATATGTATAATCAACCTGCTTCCCTTTACTCATGCGACGATGTGCACTACTAATTGGTGATCAATAATGAAGGTAAAGTCCCATTATATGAGTTGACTTGTTAAGAAAAATCTTGCATTCATTTAACGAAAAAGGATACACGAAGCGAGATCTACGATTCAACTTCGACTGAAGATAAAGCTATTTTTATAACCCGTTATTTATCTTCTTAAACTATAATACAGCTATTTTGATTAATAATAATGCCATATCCGCCCTTGTAAATACGTAACTGGCGTCTGTGTGAACGTTGTGCACTGTACTGTTCTCTTAGCCATCAATAAGAACTCTTTTCCTAATATTTTAATGAACGCTTTTCAGTGTTGTGCCATATGTTGTTAAGTGTTGCGACAGCAAAATGACTGAGATAATAATGCCAGAATCACCTTCTGGTGGAGAATACATATAGTAGTTATTATATAATTTAAAAATACATTAACTAAGCGGCCTCAATATAAAAAAAAGGAAAAACACTCGAGCAAGAGGAAGAGACAAAACGAGGAGAAAAATATATACTAGTATTTCGCCTGACTCAGGACACAATCATCACTGTAAAAATTATATAGTAGCAAATATTGCTCTCTGGTAGTTATTATCTAACAGTAGGAATGAACAGTTTTTAGCAATCTAATTCAGACTCCTTTAATTTCGTGTTGCCTCAGAAGTAGAATTTACAAACGCTTAACTCAAACTCTTCTAAGGCTTTTCCAATTATTGTGCTATATCCAAAAGTAAGGGAGAAAAAGAGAGAAGCAATTTAATTATTGTTCCTTAGAAGAAGGGTATTTATACATCCAGGGAAAGTAAAAGAAGAATTCAAGAAGTGAGCGGTAACACTTGGTAAGAGTACGAGACAGGGTGCGATTCTCATAACTTTTAATCTAGTTAATTTTCTTCTGTTTGTGAACAGCTATTTATTGTCCACATTGAGCAGAAGTGAAACTCTTTAGATAAATTACTTCACCCACCGCATCCGAAAATTTTAATCTCTAGAACGAGTACGTTATTTCATGACTTTATACGCTGCATTAGAAATGAGAATGGGAAAATATATTGTCTTTTTTCCCTGGGCTCTTCTAAATCACGTACGCGTACACGCGGTACATTACACCACAAGTTTATACCGCGTACATAAATTTTTTTACTTTCTACTTGAGAAAAAAAATTAATTATTACTTATATATATATAGCCAAATCTACTATCAAAAAGAAGAAAGTATTTAAATTTTGCTTATTTTTTACGCTTTCATATTCTTTCTTAATCTACCATACCATCCGTCTTGTAATATTATTGTTGGTCTAGTCTTAGAAGAAAAAACTGAAAATAAGTGATTTGAGTCTAAAAAATTGTAAGTGGCCCATATAAAAATAGTTTTTTTAAGTTTAGAAGACTAAAACCTTTTAACAAAAATGTTTTGGTCATTTATATAAAGAAAAAAATTATGAACTATACATAGCTAGCAATTCATTAAAGTGAGCTTATGGGTTTAATCAGATCTCGATTACGCTCTAAGCACTACCAAAAAATTTTGATCATATATATATGTTACAAAAAATGTATATATTTTTTGAATTGACAAAGATTGCTTTTTTTTAAATTAGCACTATATAAATAAAATAATATCTGCTACCCACAGTTTGTTGGGCCATAATGCAAATGATTAATGGTTCTCCTTGTATTGCAGCTTCACAGTTAAAAGCATTTTTTCAGATTTACGGGTTTACTACTCGATGATTGTTCACCTTCTAGGCGCTGCTATAATAAAGAAATTTTAAATGTCTTCCTACTGTGTTTTAATTTAAATTTTAAGTTAAGGTTCACGTTAGTTTTTGTTAATTTAAATAAGAAATGCACCACCTAATCCTAAATTGTACAATTATGAGATAATAAATAGTATAGAAGTCAATATCATCCTGTACCCTACACGTCCCGTTTTCTTAGTAAGAATGAATTATAATATTAAAAATATGTGTGGTAAATAGAAGTCTGCAAGCCTCATATATGTAATTATAGATGTTATTACTTTTTTTTTAAATTTAATCATATGAGATAACTAATTAAACTTTGGGTTTCCAAAAAAGTCCACTATTGCCGTACTGCAATTTTATTACACTGAATATGCACGAAAAATATAAGATGCACAACGACTATGGATAATGAAAACACCTAAAATATCAAAACAGTATCTGTTACAATTCTACTTTTTTTTGGTCGAATTTCTTAATACGTTCATAATGCCTTTATTTTGTAACTACTAAGGGGATCACAAGGTTTAAGCTACGCTAAACATTAGCTTCTAGCGCCACTCCTTAGTGTTTGCTATGTGAAATTCCCTTCATTTATTTATGGTTTTAACTTTCCGCGGAGTAATATCTCAAGTTAGCGAACAGAGTGGATTAGGAGGATTTATAAGTGTAAATTGCTCTTTTTGTTATAAAACTGCCAAATTTATTACTACAAAAGAAAAAAGCGCTGTCTTTTGTTCTTACTGTCATCGATTGTTATACCCTTCCTCTTATATTGTTAAGTATCGGTTTTTTATTCAAATTATTACTGATACAAAGCTAACCTGCGGTATTCTATATAAATCTATTAGTTAAAGCTGATATCAGTCCCTTTTATCATATTGCTTTTTTAATAAATCTGTTTTTTTACGTAAGTTTTATCCGTTACCTTATTAGCTACTTTTATAGTTGTAAATTCTGATAGGAAAAGTAGTTTAAGCTGGCTTTTTGGTTGCAATGCACAACACTTCTACCATAAATACCTTTTGTAATTATTTTGAGTTTTATATCAGTGATATATATCCTCCTTATTCTCCTACTCACTGTCAATTTTTTTCTACTGACAGCGGAAAAAATCGATTAGAAGTAATAACTGTTAATAAGGGTGTCAAGTTTGCTTTAGAAAGTATACTTGAAGGAAATTGCTGCGTTTTCAACTCACTGAATAACAAGGTAGCGCAGTTTCTACCCTAACTTCGATGACTTTTATTATTTTCTTACTACAACTGCTAATAATTTTGTCATTTTATAATTCTCCTGTCGACTTGGGCCTTAAGAACATTGTAGTCAGCGACTTTACTCTTCTTTGCGCTAAACCTGTAACTGTTTCAAAAATTCTTTTTGAGAGGTTTGTCCCAGTCCTATTCATTTTAATTTATTTAGAAGAGCAAATTTATATTTAGCGCGATAGAATTTTCGTTGTCTTTTAATTTCTGTTAGCTTGTTCGCTATTTTTTTTTTCTAAATTGTTTTAGGCAGTTAAGCTGTGAAGAGTTAAACGTACATTCCCTTCCTAAAACGGCACCTGGCCTCGAATCATCGTGTTTAAGTTCTCAGAGTACGCTAAACTGCTCGACGCTTGAAGGTTTCCACTCTTTTTTTTGCTATAGCACAGTAGCACTCTCTGAGAAACTTTTTTAAGGATTTAGAGCGAGTACCTTTTTTTTTTATTAATTTATTTCGGTTCAAATATTTTTTTATAAAGTAAAATAAATTGGTTAACCCAATAAAATTTCTAAAAGTTAACTTTGTCCCTTTCTTTTTTACTAAACGTGAAGGCGAGCCATCTCAATCGTTTTTTTTTAAAATTTCTTACATGCAGCCCTAAAGCCTTGTGAGGACTTTGAAGGCTCTTTTTCCAGCAATCTACTTTTATTCAGAAGCGAGTCTTCTCTGCATTCACCTAGCAGATGTAGTGCGCTATATAACGAAGTTGAGAGAGAATCCCCGGCTTTGTTTGACCTTTCCGTCCGAGAAGGATATTTTGGTGTTACACCTAAAAAGCGTTTAATATTCAGCGGCTCCTGCGATTTTAGAACGTTAAAAGATGAGCAATTTTCAAGCACTTTATGTCAATTTGGAAAACCGTTCAAAAGCGAAAAACTACGGGCCGTCCACTGTTATTCCCGCGATACACCCATTCTTAGCGGAGATAGCCCCTGTAATCTACTGAGTAACTGCGACACGACGGAAGAATTTATATTCACTTGCTCAAGAAATGACGCTGATTACAACTGCGTGGACATTAAAAGGCGGCTTTGTTTTTCCGATGGTTAAATTATAAAAAAAATTGGATAAAAAAGTTATTTGTGTAAATAATAATAAAGTTTTATCATATAGTTTTTTAGATAATTCAAGTGTTACTTATCTTACTTTCAACTAGCATTATTGCTTAAAAATTGCCCAAGTTACGATAAGAACTCGAATTTAAGACTTTTTATTTAGTGTTGATTTAATAAAAGTCGTTAACAGGCGTAATAAAGGTTACTCGGTAAGCGCGCAACATCCCATTAGGCTAACTTGAATTAACTTAGCCAAGCAAAAATATAATTAGATGCCTAAAATAAATTGTTAAGGAGTTATACATAACTGCAATAAGATAAAAAAAGTTACGGGCTACACTTAAAAAAAACGATAGGAATCTTAACGCACTTGTTTCTCTTTCCTTTACTGAGCAAAATCCATATTTTAGAAGATATAAGGCGGAAAACAACTAACCTCCAAGTTTACTAGATTTTTCCTACTAAAATTTGGGTCTTTACCTTTTTATTACGCTTTTTATGCTTTTCTGTTTCCATTAATTATTATATTTCTGAATAATTTAATTGAAACTAAACGCCATCCTGTTTAATAATAGTATGATAGCGATGGAGAGCTCCGATTCTTTATTTATAAATTGGCAAACTTCAACTTGAAGTTTTTAATAGGTTAATTTGGTGGTCCGAAGTGTAATTGATAGGCTAACGGAAAAGAAACCTAAAAGAATTCTGTAAAGATTCGGTTTTGTTTGGTTTTAGTGAGCAATTTTCAATTAAGCTTAAAACTTTTTAAATTAAATAATTTTTCTACTAGAGCTTCATTTCTTTTCATTTAGAGACAATTTTGGTTCGCAAATTTTTTTTGAGTTTGCAAGAAATATGAATTTAAACGAATTTTTAAGTGCGTGTAACGTATAAAAGCAAATACAATTACTTCCATAAGATAAAAAATTCTTAGAGAACGAATACCTGTTTATTACTATTAGTAAAAAAATATGTTTTTGCATATATATCCCTTTCGTTTTAATCAAATCTTACATTTGGTGTTCTATGCCCGATAAAACGGAACAAATAATATAGCAGAAATTTACTTGCTTTTAAATTAAAAAATAAAAAGTCTGTTTATTTTGCCTACTTTAAAAAGTTTTAATAAAATTTTTAACACCGACAACGATTACACAAAACAATATAAAAACTTTTTCTTGCCACAATTCTCTTACCTTGCCGGCTTTATATATGACAGTAGATTTGCGTAATGTAAACATTTTATACGCATAAAAATACACCTCAGCCTGGGTCGCGTATTATAAGTTAGTTAAGTAAAACGGGATCACACTGAAAAAAAGATCGAATTTATACGGAATTAAAATTTGCGACGACGTTTAAAAAATGGTGACGATATTTATGCTGATTTAATTTCTTTAAAATAAATTGCTACACAAATTTATACGAACTGAAGTAGGTTAAGGAATAGAACTTTGAAGTAAGAAATTCTGTCTAGTAGTAAATTCTATTACGGCTCTGTTTGGCTTACGAAAAGGATAGATATTAAGGGACTTTCGATAGAGTCTAAAGTAATTTTATAAATTCTTCAGACTTTTATTATGTATTTTTGTTATTGTCTCATTATAAGCTAATCCGCCTACTTATTCTATTAAGGATTAAGTACAAGACACTTAAAAATATAATTAAAAAAAACAAAGCACCACCAGATTTTAAAAAAACAAATTGAAATTTGCCAACTTTATAAGGGTACCGGCAGGCGAAGTCAATAGTCAACTTTTTACGCTTTCTATACTTTCAGAGCTGACGATGATTTATTCCTCTTTTCTTTGCTACAATTTTTATTAACTTTTATTTTCTGAGTTTTAAACTTTTTAGTAAACTTATTAAGGTGGCATAGGATATGATTTTATAAAATATTTAGCGTAGTCACACTCAAACTGGCGAGTTAAAACTGAGCATGTAAAAACAATAAACTATAGCCGATGTCAGCCAAATGGTAAAAGCAAACATACTCTGACGGAGGGCTGCAGTCTGTGAATAATAAGGTTTCATAAGTAAACGATATATATAAAGTTGTAGCCTTCTTAAAGTTATGTTCGAGCTTTTTCTAGTATAATAGCGCTACTGGTGTAATATTTAGTAATACATTTGTATAGCGAAGCTAAAAAATAATTTCAGAAAATTAATACTTTCGTCATAGTTTTTCAAGTAAGTTAGGCGTACTCTTTATTTTGTAGAATAAAATCCTTTCTTTTTCCTACTAGTAAAGTCAAGGAGCAAGAACTTACCCTTTTTCTTTGCAATGAGTCTCTTTAAAGTTATAAAAACTTAACTTCTTTAACTATATAGCAAATTTCCAAGTAGTTTAGACTTGTTATTGACTTTGGGAATTTCCACACAAACCCCTCCTTTCGGGTCGACTGTTAGTGATACATGTATATTTGTAGAAAACTTAAAGTTTTTATGTTACAAATAAATTTTTTTTAGGCGATCAATTAGACTATATGCTCTCATATCTTTTTTAGAAACTTACTGACAAGCAATACCGGGACAACCCCTACAGTGCTTTTTTTTTTATTAATATTTCCTGGTGCTCGATTGGGATGTAAAAGAAAACACCGAATTTACGAACTCTCAACAGGGTGATATTGTACACATTAGCTTTAAGGTTGTGTTAAAGCGTCTCATATATATATATATGATGCAATAAAAATAATTCTACCTCCAACCCATGTTATATACTCAGAGTACATTGCGCGGGCGGCGAGAGTGTGCGCAGGTCAGATTTCGTGTTGATCTCCTATGTCAGTAATCGATTGGTGTGCTGTCTGAGCGGATCGTAGGGGGGGGTAGCATTGCGCTCGAAAAAAAATTACCCAGAGGTTCAATTTGGTGCTCCTTATGTAAGGCATCATTGCGGATAAAGCACGGCGCGCCCGTTATAAGGCGAAGCAGCTTGTTTTGTCTCACTTGAAGCGAAGAGATTATTGCCGCTGAGTCGTAGGCTCAGACAGTAGGCACATATGTCATGATCGGTCGGATGCACAACAAATACAAGGGTCGTTTGTTGTGCAGCGAGAGTTTCTTCAGCATAAAGTAAAGGATAAAGAGTTTGAACCGCCGTCTTGACCTTCGCCGTGATCTAGTTTAAGTGCGGTCGCCATGAGAGCTTATTGTCTGTGATGACCCCCGGGTACTTCGTCTGAGGGCACTAAGGAATTACCTTATTTTCCAAGGGCAGCGGCGGTCGTGGTGTAAAGTGCTTCTTGTGATACCCTACCGTGTTATGAACATTTTTAGGCTATGTATGTTACTTTATTATATATTATTATTGCTATTTTCTACCTTGGTCTGATGTACTCTCGGGCTGGCTACTCTACAACTCCTACCTTTTTTTTTTTATTTTAAGAGGAGAAAAAAGAATATCGACAGCAGTCTTAGTGTTAAACAATACTAAGTTTATCGCTTTAAAGATGTATTGCACTGGTGAGTGAGTTCGTACGTATATTAAATACGACACTCGGACTTTGTTTCTTTTAAACTTTAATGCAAAGAGTAGATGAAAAAAACGACAACAATGTTTACTTTCTTGCACACACTATATATAAATATTTTCTGCTTTAAAACTTTTACTTTTCAAAATTGTTGTCTTGAAAAATTAGATAAATATTAGCTACTAACTGTTTCTAAGTTTCTATATTTAGACAACTTATGTGTCTAAGAACAGGTACGGGTACTTTACAGTTCTACCTTAATTTTTTCGGCATCGCAAGGTACTAGTAACAAAGTTTTAAAATTATTTTATCTTCGAAGTATTGAGTTAATTTTTTTTATAATACTTTAATAGAAAAGCATTGTAA